CGCGCCGCACGCCGCCTTCCGGACCGAGCTCGGGCCGCCGCCGCGTATATAAGGCGGGCATATATATAATACTTCTATATTGCTAGTACGGTGCCGACTTGAAGTCCACATGTTACGGTGCAGACAATATAGTAGCCTCTCTCTCCAGCTGCTTTGTGCGCATGCGGTGAACATTCAAGCACGTTTGGGCATTTCTCTTTCTCGCGTTCTTTCCAATGCTTTGTCTCCCTCGCACTCGCTTAGTAGACGCGCCTGCGCATAATGACGCTCGACTATCTATGCCCATATTCGGACTTCGTGCGTCTCTCTTTCTCGGGCCTCGTGCCTCTCATTGCGAAGATACGCGACTAGCAATATAGAAGTATTATATATATGATAACAGTGCATGGGATCGTACTCTTAAGGCCATTCTACATAAGACGCAGACGCAGGTCGCAGACTGCAGATTTCGCATAATTGACTATTCACGTTTGTCAAAATATCAGCCAATCGACTTACGTGATTGGTTAATTCCTCGAGAGCAGCGGCCTGCGACTTGCGTCTGCGTCTTATGTAGAATGGACTTTACTGCTAGAGAATATCGTCTTTTTTACCCCTAGCTTCCCGCGTCCAAGAAACGATTCAGTGACCCCAACTGTACACTATGTCATTTTGACACTATGTCATTTTGTGTGCGATAGTCCTAACGCGTTACAAAACAGTTTGTGCGGAAACCCTAACACTGGAGATAACAATAATCAAGTGTGTTCATTACGCATACATAAAATACTTGTATGATTATCATAATCGATATATGTTTCTTTATGATATTTATTTAAAACACGACTCTTCTTTCTATTACGTTTGTTTGGGTTATTTGTTACAGGTTTCTCTCTCCACAAATGTATACCGAGGTTCCATTAAGAGAAGTGTTACCGTCACTTAATGCTGCGACAGAAAAAAGCAAGTAATTGCGATGCTTTGTTTGGTTTTTTTTTTATAAGACGAGCCAGTAAAGTTGATTAAACGGCAATTTTTATCCTAAAAAGTTTATCGAGTTGTCAACGACGCTTTTAAATCATGTGAATGATAGCTAACTGCGCGACAAAAAGGGTGTGTTTTATTAATTAATAGACGCATGCGCTAGATATTTTTGGTTTGGTTTGGTGCACTTGTGGCTGTTGGGCCGTAAACGCTAGATATTTTAGCAATTATATCTTATTGAAGCTCGATAAGTTACTAAACTAAGAAATAATACGGTCATCCGAGCCGATCGCAGGATGTTGTGCGGAAAACTGTGTATATATATATATATATATGCATATATATATATATCGGCTCGGATGACCGTATTATTTCTTAGTTTAGTAACTTATCGAGCTTCAATAAGATATAATTGTTAAAATATCTAGCGTTTACGGCCCAACAGCCACAAGTGCACCAAACCAAACCAAAAATATCTAGCGCATGCGTCTATTAATTAATGCATATATATATATATATACACAGTTTTCCGCACAACATCCTGCGATCGGCTCGGATGACCGTATTATTTCTTAGCTAGATATTTTGTTGTGTCGGACCATAGACATATATACCTAGATCCAGTATGCATGTCCTTGGCAGAACGGACAAAGAGGCAAAACATATGGAAGTTTTCTCTTTTTGTCTGCGCAGATAGAATGCGTAGTCGTTTTTTGACAGCAAGGGCTGGTTTTGGTTTGGTGCTGTTGTGGCTCAGTGGACCGTTTAAACTGGTCCATACGCCATTCTGTGTCTATATTGTGATATTGGAATGTAAGCCACGTCTGTAAGCAGTGTGACCGTGTCTTTACTAATCGACTTAGAAGAAAAAGGAACATGAGCGGGCTATTAAGTCTGGGCCGCCATGTTTCCTAATTAAGAGCGCAGCTCCAATAACATTTAGACTATATTCCGATCAGAGATATAAGATTAGAGTGCGCGAGTTTTATGCTAGCGCGTAAGTGGATGCGATAGAGACTTAGAAAGAGAAAGATGCACATGAGCCACTGATCTCTATAATACACTGGATAGAGGATACGTCGCTTCCCAATGTAAAATTTTTGTGACAAATAGAAGACCGGCAGTACAGCCATTGTAGTGAGTTGACATGCCAAGTTATGCGGTAATTTTACAAAGTAATATAGGCAACTGAAAATCTTATCAGCAAAACATGGTAAATGTTTATAAAAACAGACCCAGCTCCGATGACCTTGACATATGTTGTCAAGGACATGTCCCTAAGTATAACAATCGAAAGGTTTTAACCGTCGCTCCCTTTTTATTAAAAAGTTATGATCTTAAAAAGGTGTATCGAGTTTACGTATATTGTTTACGTATACTATTTAAATACACTTAAATATACATATTTTTATGACCGGCCCAGTGGTTTCGCGGTCTGAGTGCAGGAGCTGCGAACCCGGAGGTCCCGAGTTCGAATCTGCTCACCACTTAAGGATTTTTTCTGGGCCGGTCTCTTTCAACCGAGTTTATTGGTTGATCAGCGAACTAAATCGGACCTCCAAACATTAATTCGGGTGTAATCCCGAATTAATTCCCCTCCCACAAGGCGATCATAGTCACAACATCTTGAACACGAGCCCGACACAGATGGGCACGCCCACTGTGAAAAGAAGGCCGTGTATTGCGTAGTAGTAGAGTACTGCACAATCATCTCCCCGTGAAAAGAGTATAAAGATTCACCTGATTGTGAAAATAATGTGTCATAATAGCCAAGAATGGCTGCAGGCACGTAAAACTCAATAAAAATTTATGCATATTTTTATACATAGAGGAGTTTTAAAGAAAATATTACAAGTACGTTCAATTATTTATTGGATGTAGTCTACTCATTATTTCAAAAAAAAGCATCAATACGTTCATCAGAAGTATATAATCTTTTAAAGAAGAATTCGGCAATATAATGTTCATAATGATATTCTTGAGTGCCGAAACGTGGAAGATTAGCGCGCAATTTCTTTATATTTTGTGTTGTAAGCGTGTGTAGGCAGGGAGGGGCTATGCACTCTCTCTTGAGAAAAATAAGGAACGACTTCCGATTACATGTCGCTTCATGTCAATAGCATGTACGTAATTTTTAGCAACATTTAATCGGAAGTCGTTCTCTATTTTTTCTCGAAAGAGGGTACAGGAAGAGGAGCGAAGCCTCCGCTTGCGTAGCCCCCTCTGCCTACACGCTTACAACACAAACAAAATGTACATGGGGATGTCGGAAAATAAAAATTTATGTATGAAACTTTTTTTGTTTACAACTTTTTAATGAAGAGCGAGCGGCTAAAAACTTTCAAATGTTACTCAGGGATATGTCCTTGACAACATACGTTAAAGTCAAAATCATCGGGGCTGGGTCCGTTTTTGTAAACATTTACCACAAAACATTAATATATTGTTTATTTTTTCCAAAATACATTACGTAATCTTTTATAAAATTAAGTGCAAAAAATAAATAATGTTTTAAAACAATATTAAAAACTTAGAGTTGTTAAAACAACCAAAAACATAACTTATAATTTTACATAACGCATTTACATACTACTAAGTACATTTAAATTATAATCCATAATTTTATTTAACGCATTTACGCTATCACGTTTAAATTATAATTCATAATTTTATTTAATGCATTTACGCTATCACGTTATACATTTAAATTAAATACTTACGCGTAAAAAGACCTTTTTTGGTAATTATGCAGTTATACGGACTATTTTCCGATCTCAACAATTTTGACATATGTTATCAAGGTCACCTCTCTGAATAATAATATGAAGGTTTTATCCGTCGCTCATTGTTTATAAAAAAGTTATGAACAAAAAAAGTTTGATGATTGAACTCTC